GTGGTTTTATGTTTTAACATAGGAACAGACATAGGTAGAATGGCAGTGTTTTTATGTTTTTGTATAGGAACAGACATAGGTAGAATGGCAGTGTTTTTATGTTTTAACATAGGAACAGACATAGGTAGAATGGCAGTGTTTTTATGTTTTAACATAGGAACAGACATAGGTAGAATGGCAGTGTTTTTATGTTTTAACACAATCGCTTTTTCCCTTGAATGTCGATATTTACTCTTCACTACGACGTTTGATTTGATTTTTTAAATTATAACCTCACCTCTGCTAACGAGCTTAAAATACTTATACAAAACGGATCAACGGATCGCTGAGAAACAGTTCTGCGTCTGCCTGCTTTTGTTAAAGCTCTTGTCAAGAACAAAACGAAGTTTATGTTCTTGTGTGTATGAGAGCTGACGTTTTTCTAATCAACACATTACATCTCATTTATATCCGTCCATTCCCTTTCAGTAAAAATTAATTTTAATTTGAACACAAGCTTTATCTACAGTTGTAGGTTTTGGTTTCCTTTTTAACATCATACTTTAATGCATTCATTTGGATGTTCATGACAACTTTAATCTGAGTAAAAACTATAGAAGCAATGAATATTTTAATTTCAGAAAAACTCTAAAAGTATCCGCTAGGATTTCCAGTCCATCGGCATAATCTTAGAACTGGGAAATTGTAATAAAAGCTATAATAGTCTAAATAAATTTATTAAAGTCTGGAATTAGGTAAAAGCGAAGTTTTAAATACAGTAAAAATGTTTTTTATTAAGTATTTTTTTAACATAGTTGAAAAAATAGTCGAACAGCCTGAAAGTGTGAATGTATCCTAGAATCATGTTAGTAAATTCGGGCAGTGTGGTATAAGTTATGTTTGATTTATTGGGCTCAAAAGTAAAACATTAGAATATTTTAAGAAAAACAAGAAATTTAGAAGATAAGTGGATAAATCAACAACATCAAATTCATGAGACCAAATTACATCTGTATGTTAAGTTAATTTATACACGTGCAACTTGTTTATTTGAGAAATTATTCTGTTACCCATTTAAGGTTGAGTTCTTCCATTTTAGTGTGCTTCAGATTGATGTTAGTGTTTCTGTTGTAACACTAACCTGAACTGACTTTCTGAAGGTAGAAAGAATCCCAATCTGGCGATGAAACAGCAGTATCGTTGTTACATTACTAACCTGAACTGACTTTCTGACGGTAGCAAGAATCCCAACCCGGCGATGAAATACCAGCATCGTTATTACATTACTAACCGGAACTGGCTTTCTGACGGTAGAAAGAATCCCAATCCGGCGATGAAATACCAGCATCGTTGTTACATTACTAACCGGAACTGGCTTTCTGACGGTAGAAAGAATTCCAATCCGGCGATGAAACAGCAGTATCATTGTTACATTACTAACCTGAACTGACTTTCTGACGGTAG